AAACAGAACACTTTTCCTCACATCTGACAGACACAACTCCAATCCATTGTCCTGACTGTAATGTGGGAGGCAGAAAGCGGTTGCACTTGCCTTGCCAGCATCACTCTTTGGTATTTAGACGATGCTTCCTCTGTGCTGAGTTTGTTATTCTTTCACCCTCATTCTCTTAAATGCCCATGAAGATCAGATGGCTGCATGACTGCATTACAAGGCTCAGGGCAAATAAAGTAGAGGACAAGTACAACAAGTGTGCCTGACAGCTCTGTGGGTCTTCATTTCAAAGAGAGATCAAGGAAGACCTGCGTGAAAGGACTCAGATATCACCATAATAATTTAATCACATCACGTGAGAGATGAACAATCGCCCAAATCAGAATTCTTCACAAAAGCTACTAAAGTTATCTGTTATGCAACATCCCCTTATCCGTAAATGACACAACTTACGTATTATGAGTGTTTGGAGTTTGAAAACAAGCAAAAAAATCATCTTATCTGAGCAGAAGTGTGTGTGTGTGTGTGTGTGTGTGTGTGTGTGCGTGCGTGTGCGTGTGTGTGTGTGTGTGTGTGTGTGTGTGTGACGTGAGGGTATTTAAAAACAGTATGTAGAAAATATCAAGAATATGTTTTGGCCAAGTACCGGGGGTTTCTTGTTATTGTGATTATTATAAATATTCAGTTAGATTTTGGCACGCACACAGTTTTAGAGAAGAAATGTGATTTTAGTTTCTGGCCCAACTTTCTTTTGAAGAAGCAAAATCTAATGCAAAAATAGACAAGGTATAGCACCGAGGTTTAGGCTTTAAGGAGCACACACACACACACACACACACACACACACACACCACCAAATGCACTAACGCCAGGTGTACTTGAAGTTATGTATTGCATGACATGCAGCTTTTTATTCATTGTGATGGTTTTGCTAGTGGATGCAGCAGCTTGTTGTGATAGTAAACACATCACTACAAGGTTTTCCTGCTGGAGAAAAATGTGCATTTGATGTAGCAGTAGAAAAAAAATCTATTGTTTATTTGGGGTTTTGTGCCATGGGGAGGCCTTAGGGCTTGCACTGCATCACTCATTATGCCTGCCCATCAAGGAGCACAAGCTGTACTGCTCTGGAGCCATTCCAAAAGGGCTCTCGTCATTAGCTTGCCACTTGGTGGCCAATTGCTGGAGCAAAGGAGACAAAAGCTGCAGCCCACCCCTGCATGCTCTGATTGCTCTGAGAGTCCGTGAGGGAGGAAGGACAGGGGCCTCCTTTTTGGCATGCCAAAATGTGGATTTTTACTGCAGGGTAGTTTTTGCATCGGGTATCCAGGACAGAGGTAAACGGGGTCTCTTTCTGCTCTGCAATTCTTTTTTTTTTTCATTTACATTTCTGTAGTTGAATGCATTTTAAAAGGCTTGATGTAATCAAGCTGAAATGAACAACAAACTTGGATTCTGAAACCTTTCAGTCTTTCAATAATGAAAAAGAAATCCCCTTACTATTTTCTCACTGCTGCCTTTGTTGAATTGGCAGGTGTTTGGTCAGTCACAAAAAGGAATCATCTCAGATGAAAGTGAAGAAGTGAAAAAACTGTCAGAATATAAAACATAGAAATCAGTTGTCCTTGATTTTGACATGATGGAATGACAATAAATTAAAGACTTGAGTTAGTCTTCCTCTTCTCCATTTCTCTTTGGCGCCTCACCCATGGACTCGCTCTGACTCTCTCGGCTGCTGTGATCTCCAGGCCCGCTGGTTATTTGGATATTGCATTGAGTCAAAGTTCTGTCAATCTGATAAGCAGTGACCTCACAAACCCAGCAGAAAAGATGTTACATGGCAGGAGGAAATGGCAGATAGCAGAGGGACACAAGATCTGACTGGAAACGTTTTGTGAAGCAAGACTGATCACAGCAGCTCAAAGACTGCTAAGAAAGGCCAGATATTGCTTCTGCCCTTTGTGTGAGTCAGTTTGTATTGATTGGGTTTGATTTGGATTGAGTGCATGAAAGACTATTTTTAATCTTTTAAATAAAATGTTCTGTTCAAGGTGGTTAAAGGATGGAAAGTAGAGCTTGTTTTAAACAAGTTACAATAGCTCTAGTTGATACAAAACACATTTCTGAAGTTCTTTGCACTAAATCCCTCTTGCGTGAAGAGATTTCAGCAATTTTTATTTTAGATGTTTACAGTACCTTCCAGAATGTGCCGTTTCAAAGCTCTGCCACTTTACGAAAACAAACTAGAGCTGGCCACGCCAGCCCATTTCCCGCTCAAGCTAATATAAGCTAAGAAACTCTGATATGCAGCAGAGCTGCTGCTCCTCCAGCAGTAGCTCTCTGTTGCACATGAGAGGTGGTTCTATTCTACTTTGTGATGTCACAAATGGGGACTATCTAAAACAGCTTGTTTTAGGCACATCATTCCGCAAACCAAACACTGATAGAAAACAAATGGACGGATTATTTTCATGGTAGGAGTGTTTATAGAGGCAGTAGAGATCTACATGACAGCAAAAAGAATAAACCTGCATAAGATGTCCCTAGATTGAAAGAAGCTGCAAGTGATTTTATTGCCTTCAAATCAATCAAACAAGGCACCTAAACCTCTGAAAAATATAAACATGTTTTGTTGAACAGGCATTAACGACCTCACGATAAAGGCTCACAAACAAAGCCTTCAGGCCAGATTTAGTGGTCTCAATAATTAGCATGCACAACCTCGTCGGCTGCTACAGTGTCACTGAGTTGGAATAAGACAAACCTGCCAATCATTCCATTACAGTGGGAAATTACAAAAGGATGAATGAAGGGCGAGTCCTTGTTTAGAGCTGCAGTTTTTGGGTGGTCCACAGGTTGGAAGCCCTCTGGGAGGGATCAAGGGGACCTCCACACATAATACCAATCTGAAGACCTGTTGAAACAGGGTAGATGCTAATTCAAATGCAACACAGAACACACTTAGCTCAGCAGTTGCAAAAGAAAAAATCCACAAAGTTTTTATGCTGCCTGGAAGTAAACAGTGGTAACCTTTGGAAAAATAAACCAGCTCTAGCCAGTATTATTTTATATCATAAGTCTTGCCACTTTTTAAGCCTATGACTTTAAGCCTATGAATACAAAAAAACCCTGTAACGCTGCACAATGCAAGCCATTTATTTGAATAACTGTCCCAGATGCGAGAGCCACATGACGACAAAGCAAAGCGTTTGTTTTCATTTGAACTCTGCTCTATTTTCACACATATTTAGGTCTGGAAGCTGCCCAGAACCACCACAGTGCTGTACTACTGGTCACTGAGCTGATGGTTCAGTTATTTTCTCAAGAGAGACTCAGTGGTCATTGTTCAGGCAGGGGAGAGACGTACTCAGTCAACCCCTTAACCATTCTGAGGGGTTCAAACACTTCAGCCATGAGGACTTCTCTACAAAAAAGGATTACTCCTACAAGGTTCAGACATGTAAAGCCCAATAAACCCAGTTTAGCTGTTGTTTTAATTCACAAAATCGAGTTTTATGAACTACTTTTACTGTGGGTTTTATTTATGTTTAAACGTTTCTGTTCATTTTGTGTTTTTCCCCTTTATTCACAAAGAAGTTGACAAGTTTTGTTTCACCATCTTTAAATGTACTTTTATTGATGAGTAGAGACTTTTCTAATATCTATAAAAGTTTTTGACGTAACTGATCTCGTGTATCTGCCCGACATTCACAGTAATGCAGTCAGAGGACTCACATTAAAATTCTGTCTCTTTTACTTTATTCATTTTTTGTTGAATTCTGAAACATTTAAATTGTTGGACGTGTCTCGTAGGGTAATCTTTGATCAACTGACATTTCTTAATGAGACTTGTCACAATGCAACTTTTCACAGCATCAAATTATTCATGATGATGTCATGTTTGCACATGGAGTCAGAAAATGTGGATTAATACTATTAGAATAAATGCCATACCAAAAAAGCAACCTGGATTATTATGTAACTGGGGTTATTTTTGTTTAAACTGTTTAAACATAGCCTACAAAATATGAAACACAGAGCAACGACTGAACGTAAATTTTCTGTTATTAGTGTCTTCAAATAGTAATATATATTTCTAGTGTTTGAAATTATTTTGAATGATTCACGATAAAAAAATAAACGAATAAAATAAAAATAAAAACTCCACATGAAACTAGGTGAATTGTGTGCTTTTAGCGCCCTCTGTTGTTCAAATTAGAAACTGGAGGTCACTTTCAGAACTACAACAAAAATAGATTAGGATGTGTAAGTTCTATGTTTTTCATTCAAATAAAATTTGGGTTGTTAATATTTTAGTAGTCATTTTTGTGAAGAAATTAAGAATAATTACACGTCATAATGTTCTAATATTTATTTAACTGCCAGACTGTTTCTCCTTTGACAGAATGTTAAAAGTCAAGTAGTATTTCTTAAGGACTCTCCGTCCAATTTACAGAAGTAGAAAAACATTGCACAGATAAGATAAAAGGAAATGAACACAATATGATACACTAGAACATAAGAGACAAAATAATCACGAGAAAAAAACAAGAGACAATAATATGAGTAGTGTGAAAATAAAATATAAATTATGTAATCTAAAAACGTGAAAGATAGTTATTCTAGTGTTTCCACATCTTTAGCATTAGAAGATCAGTTTGCTATTTGGCAGTTTGTTAACACAACAGCTGACCGCTAAATAAAGTTACTTTGTTGGTAGCAGTGTTGGTTTGCAGCAAGAAGATCACAGGTTCAAAGCCTGGTTGTGGCCTTTCGCATTGTTGGGGTTTGGTTTCCCTCTTGCATGCCAAAACGAAGTAGTATGTTGGGGTAATTGGTGACCCTAATTGTCCCTGGGTGTGCGAGTGAGAGTTAATGAATCATAAAAAAATAAAAAAATAAAAACTTGCCCAAAGATGAAAAATGCTGTAGAAAAATCACTGGATCTCAGATTTCACAAACCCGTGGAAGATGCACGAGGGATGCTCTTATTTTCTTGTTTATTCGCCTCTATTTGCTACGTCCGGTTTACCCGGAACTGAGTACAATTCCCAAAGATGGCGGAGCAAGGTCCGATGGCTATAGCGATGCGGCTACGAAATCAGCTTCAGTCCGTTTACAAATTGGACCCATTGAGAAACGAGGTAAGTGGGCGAGTAATTTGAGACTGTTCGTAACAGAGGAACAAAGACGGAGAGAGAATTTGCACAAGGTAGGAGTTTATCGCGCGAACTAACGGGAGATGGTTTCTTGTGTCCGCCGCGCTGATGGTGAGGAGACGGAGAGCGCTGTTTGAGCATGCGTACACGGCGGGTCCGACCGTGTTGTTCTGCGGACCAACGTGAATAGAAGCTCTCCAACAACTGCTTTTTCCGGACTAACGTGTTGTTTCTCATTCCGACCCGGAGTTTACTTGTACTTGGAGCGCCATGTGAGTGAGCAGGGGCGGTTCGGCTCGCAGCACGCTGGTCCTCACTCGGCTTGTGTGAAGTGTCAGCGGTCGCTCCGCTCCGAGCAGCAGCTGGATGCTGTGAACAAACGATGTGTTTTTGTTGGTTTTGTTTATGCTCGAGATTTCTCTGTTACAATAAAACGTAAGAAACTTCTTAGCTCATATGTGCGGAACCTCTTAATTTAAAAAAATGTCCGCATTTGCCACCGTGCTGCGATTAAAACGGATGTGACTTTTGAATGAGAACGTTCTTTTAGGGGTTTGTTCTGCCTTTGGTTTCACTTCTCTTCTTGAGGTCAAAGGTCATGGTCGACTTTCCAATAGGTAGCCTGTCGAGTTATTACTTTCTGGGCTCAAAAATAGAAATGCTGAACCCTGAGATCCTGGGACATGCTTTACTTTCCCCCACAGAAACAAACAAAAACTCATTAATTGAGCTGGTCCTGTGCTCTGTTACTTAATGCTGTCAAAGTCAATTTCATCTGGAAATAATTAGACTTGGTTTCATCAAGAGGCTCTTCAAAAGTTCAGAATTCATCCTGAAAATGGGACTAGTGTAAATTTTATCCAGCCCAGTGGTAGAGTGTCTGCCCTGAGCCTGGGAGATCAGGGTTAGATTTGTGGTCGGGTCATACCAAATACTTTGGAAAAAATGGGACCCAGTGCCCCCTGCTTGACACTCGACGTTAAGGGGTTGGATTGGGGGGGTTAGTCCACCAAATAGTTCCCGAGCGTGGCCACAGCTGCAGCTAACCACTCCCATCGAGGATGGGTAATTCCACCAGTGTGTGATGATGAATTTGGGACTTTAACTTTACAATGCTGCAGAACGTAGGAGTTGCATTTTTGCCTGTATTTGTATGTTTTGTGTGTTGTTTAGGTATCTAGGTGAAAACGTTACTCAGAGTCGAGTTCCTACATGATAGATTTTCTGAGATTTCTGTAATTACATTATTTCAAAGAAAGTATGTCACATTTAAGCAATGGCATCCAAAATCCATACGTTAGTTTTCAGTTTAAGTCTCAATGTCGTTTATAGCCTAATGTTTCTTGTACTCAAAAGGAGGAAGTCAAGTTGAAGATCAAGGACCTGAATGAACACATCGTCTGCTACCTCTGTGCAGGCTACTTCGTAGATGCAACAACAATTACAGAGTGTTTGCACACTTGTAAGTCTGTGAATCTTATATTTGTCAGTCTTGATGGAGTTCCAGAGCTGAAAACACGTTTTCCAGCACAAATGTCTTCAGCAGAATATCTCCTCCTCTTTGCTGCACAGTCTGTAAAAGCTGCATTGTGAAATACCTGCAAACCAGCAAATATTGTCCCATGTGCAACATCAAGATCCACGAAACTCAGCCCTTACTCAACCTCAAACTGGATCGAGTGATGCAAGACATCGTGTACAAACTAGTGCCTGGTCTTCAAGAAAGTACGTTTCGAGCACATCTGCAGATTTAATTTAACTGATTTCAGAGAAAAAGAGAGATACTTGTTCTTTTGTATACTTTTGACAATACTTGCTAAGTGTGTGTATGTTGTGATATTTCTTTTAGGTGAAGATAAAAGAATTAAAGATTTTTATCAGTCGAGAGGACTAGAAAGAGTCGTTCAACCAGCTGGGGACGGTAACCTCGATTTGTCTCTCCCACATAGTTTTAAACACTGAAAAACTTTTCCTTATTTGTTTTTAAAGTGAAAACTTTTCTCTCTCTAGATGTGTCTGATGGTGCGGGTTTACCTTTCACAAGTTTTGACCACTCCAAAGCTCACTTCTACAGATACGATGAGCAGGTTTCACTCTGTTTAGAAAGACTGAGGTACACTTTTGTGTGTTTTCAAGGAATAACTGTGATAAGGCCGACGTTTAAGCATGGATTTGAGCATATGAGTGTTTATCTAGTTAAAGATGATGTTCTAAGATTCCCTTTTTGAGTCCTGTTTATTCTGACTTCTCTTCACAGTTCATCACTTGCTGGGAAAGATAAAACAAAACTTACTCTACAGGTAGGTCCCATAAAAATCCCACAAAGATATCTTTTATTCATGTCTTTGAGCTTACAGATGTTGTTCAGATGCTTTTAAAATAAATAGGTGCTTCACAACTTAGACTTTAATGTCTGGGGCAGATTTCTAAACCCCCGTTTGAGCAGGTTCAGTTATTCAGATAGATAGCACATGAACAACTGCAGCAGCAGCAGGATCCAGTCTTCAGGGCAGCTTTAGGTCGGCTGTTGTTAAGGTCTCACAGGGAGACTGGCATAAGTGAGTGAAGACATGAAACCCTTCATTATTTCTTAACCAAGTCCCTGCTCTTAGTAAAAGCTGGGTTGCAGAGTACAGAAAATTGCATGGCATTTTGTGTTCCTTGCACTTTATCACAGTCTCATAAAATTATCCACTGACTACATGTGTGGTTAAAATCCATGCAGTTAAGAAACATTTATAAATCCCAGGATTTCACCAGCAACTTGTTTTTGTTCTGTTCATCAGCGTTCATCTTCACTGCACTGATGTTGGTAAACCAGCAGAGGGTGATGTTGAGTCATTATCTAGGGCTGGGGTGTCCACCGTACAAGTTCTGCAGTTTTACTTATTATGGAGAATAAGCAACATATTCTAAACCAGGTTTTACCTTCAGATGATCTTGTCTGGTGACTTCTACTGATGTTTTCTCTCTTTGTTTCATGTGAATTTAGGTCTTTTTTGCTGCTTACGTTTGTTATGTTTTGCATTTATTTGTTTGTGACCTCCTACATTTTTTGCCAGAACATTTAATTTGATTTGAGGGAATTTCTTTATATGTCTGAGACACCTTTTGTCACTCGTATCATATTTGAGAGAGGATTCTTCCTTTTGTAGGCGTGGTGCAGCGCCTTGCCTGAGCCTATGTAGGGGAAACACTGGAAGACGGCTCATCTGCTACCTGTCAATCAAAAAGACTCACCCCTTAGTATTCATTATTCGAGCTTTTATTACGTCTAAAAATTTGAGTCACAAAACATTGCCCCCCCCCCCCCCCCCCCCCCCCCCCGAGTTGTCATGACTGTGAACTAGACTAATTAAAAATAAATGTGTTTTGGTACCAGGCTGTAAACACGTTTATTGCCGCTGTGAAGGTGGCATTTTTAACATGGGAGTCAATGGGAACTTGTTTTCTGGATCCAGCCCCTAGTAGATGAGGGGGTACTGCATTTTTGTGTCATATCCACATTGGCTTCACTCTTGGCAGAGTTTGCCCCCTTGATCTGAACCCAGTCCCACCTCAGGATATCCAGTCAGGTTTTTTTTCCCCACTAATATCTCTAGTTTTACAGACCAGATTATCTTGCGGTGAGAACCCTAATCCCAGTTTTCCACTATATTTTGTTTAAAAATAATATATATATTATAAAGAGTTTTGTTCTCATTTGTCTGAAACTTCTGCCAGTAACGTTTCTGGGCTAAAAGTAACCACTGGACCGTCTGGTTGTTGGTCTCACTGAACAGTGGCACTTCCTTGGGTCCTTCATTCATTACACACTCACGGATTTAGCAACAGAACACCACTGGTGTAAGAGGTTCTCCGCTCAATAATGTCAAAGAAGGAGAAACAGCTGGCTGCTGCCACTTCAACTTTAGGACAAATTTCTACAGTCCCAAAAAGAAACACCATCTGAAGTCACGGACAACAAGTCGGTTGGGTCCAAACGTAGCTTGTTCTTTAGGTTAGCTAAAGCAGCTTTAACCATGATGCCTCCGTAACCAAGGTAATAACAGAAAATAAACAACAGACCATTCTGGATACATGTTGTTTTTTATTGTGCAAACTGGCAAAACCATGCACGATCTTACAATTGTCCAAGGGTTTACTGATCTCACGAGACCAGCTGCGTAGAATGCTTTTGCTGCCGATGCACATCTGAAATGCTCCGGGTGGGAAGGGACGTGCTGCTGAGCTCACGTCTAATACTTTACGTGTCACTTACGCATCCGGTGTAAAGCCGGGGTCAGATTACAAACACACACTCGAGTGTGATGTTGGTTTGGTTTGCTAGCACACGCTGTGTCCCTGCTGCTTTCTGGATTTAGCAGAATCTTTGTTCTGTTCTTTCCCTTCTCCGTTGGAGGTCAAGTCTCATTCACTCATTTTTCTGAGGTGTAAACTTAGTGTAACAGATTTCTGCTCTTACATTAAAAGAAATGTTGCGCCCCTGCAGAGCAGACACACAGAAAAGTGAGTTTAGCTCTGCAGCTTCAGAGTGTTTATTAATTTGTGTGGGAGTGGGAAACCTTCAGCAGCACGCTCAGTCGATTCTTCTCTCTAAATCTAAACGTAACAGGAGTCCGCCACACCCGGTTTCTATAGATGCCTTGTTGTTAGTCTGAGTTTCTTCTGCTCCACATTAGTTACAGAACTGAGGTTCTGTTTACGAATCTGGATCCACATCAGAAACATTCAAATGTGTTCATGCTAAGGTGTAAGCCAGCTGTCAGTAGCTGGTGCTTCTACTTTTCAAAGCAAAACAGAGAAGACATTTTTAACTGTGTGTTTTTAACTTTTATATTTCCCTGCAATAACTCAAATACTGATGTTGATATTAGTGCACACATCCACAACAGAGGGGTGTGCTTCAGTGGTGCGGTAACATGAAAAAAACAACTAAACAGAATAATTTATTTTGTAATCCAAACATGTCGACGAGGAGCTCTGCTGCAGTTTCAGCAGCTTCTCTCATGCTGTTTGGATCTCTTACTCTGTCGAACATGACGGCTAAATTCTGTTGCTCCTGTGAAGTGTTTACAGCTGAGTTGTTTCTCTCTCTCCTGCAGCAGAAGTTTGTGCGTTGTTCTGTTCGAGCAGAGGTGAGACACCTACGGAAAGTGCTTTGCCACAGACTGAATGTGGAAAAACACCAGGTGAGTTGGTGATATGATCGTAAACAGATGCAGGATCTATGTTGAAATGAACATTTTCCAGTGTGTGAGTTCTGTCCAAAGCCCTCTCAGTGCCTCATGGTGCTCATGGGAATACGTTTCCAGTGATGGTGGCTGTTTAAACTCTTCCCCTTGGGGGGTTAGGGTCTTAAAAATGTCCACATTGCTACCACACAATAAATTGTTGCAGTAATTTAACATGTTTTATTCCTTCATAGTTTTCTACTGTGATTTCCTAAAATTCAAAGATTATTCTTTTAATCTGTGTAGATTTGTTTGGAGAATGTGACGTCACCATAAATGTGTTTTTAGTACTGCGATAAAACAAAAACAAAATTTTTAATTATGAAGTACGTCTTTCTGAAAAGGAAACTTTGGTAAATGAACAAGTTTCACTGCAAAAATTATAAATATTTTTACTATCTTACCTGTTTTAGATGGGAAAGAGGTTTATATTGACACGATTGATGAGCTAACTGCTAGTTTGTGCTCAGCCAAGACCAAAATGTTTGGCTGCCATTGTAAAACATTTCTAAGCTACAGAGATTTGTTTTGGTTTATGTCAACAAAAATTAGATTTTTTTTTTAAACCACCCTCTCTTATTTACATGGAATTGTATGTATGGTTATTTACAAGTAAGATGTCACCAGTAGCAGCAAATGTAGCACGTCAGTGCATCCTGGGAAACTGATGGTGGGGTTACGTTTTATAGAATCCTTTCCAGGATGAAATTTTAAAGACTTTTTTTGTTTTAAAACAACTGCAGTGCTCTTTAGTCTTGGCTGCACACGAACTAGCCTTTAGCCCCTCAGTCATTTTACATGTAATCTCTCTGGAGGTTTTCCACGACAGGTGCAAGAGTAATGATTTAAAAACTAAAAATGTGGCTGGGTGATGAATCAATAGCAATATGTGTTTCAAAATAGCTTTTCACAATAGACATATGAGGAGGAACACTCTCCAGCAGAAACTTTATTTTCCCAGGTAAGAGTGAGTTTGAATAGATTTTTAAGCACCATGCCTGTAACGTTTATTTTACTTGTTTTCTACACAACATGCTTGCTTCTACTGACGTGAAAGTCGAGACCAAATACTGAAGACTCAGCAGACCAAACTAATCGATCCTTGCTACAGCAACTAGAAAAATGCCAAATATAACAGTGCGAGCATAGATGATGCCTATTTTATTGTTTGTAGTGTTTCTTTTAAAGCTGCTTAAAACTTCCCTGATGTAAAACATTGTTTTTTGTCCTTTTGTCTTTTACTTCTTTTTTTATTGCTTATTCTCAAATAAGCTGTTTAAAACAAGCCCGTTTTATTGAGTTCTGTTCTCTTGTGAAAATTAAAGATTTTAGTTTAAAATAAACCTCTTTTATTTATCCAAAACATTTATGTGACATGTTCAGCTTTCAAAAATAAAACTTTAAAATAAAAAATAACTTTACATATTCAAATCTAAATTTAAATACCAGTGAACGTTAAAGATTGACAAAAATAGCCATTGCCTTTTGTGATGTGTGTGTGTGTGTGTGTGTGTGTGTGTGTGTGTGTGTGTGTGTGTGTGTGTGTGTGTGTGTGTGTGTGTGTGTGTGTGTGTGTGTGTGTGTGTGTGTGTGTGTGTGTGTGTATTGACTGATATGGAAAATTTATATGGTGATAGGATTTTTCCATTTTGCCCAGCCCTACTTAAAATGGGGGAGAAAAAAATCCCATTAACTGTCTTGGTCAACATTAAGAGAAATGTTGTTATTTCTGTCAAAGATCCATTTGATCATGCTTTTTTTATGTAAAGGCAACTGTTATATATGTGTTTACAGCATCTGAAGCCATCACTCTGGAACTGGATTTGTTATTTTAACTAACAGAACCCATCGACTCACAGTTTAGTCGAGTTTCCCAGCTTTACTTTAAGCTCTTTTACCGTTAAAGTAACATTTATGACATGTTTAGACACATTCAGTGGTGTCTTTGTTTGTAATAAAGATCTCAAAATTTTAGACAAATACAAAGTTTTTCTATGATACAAGAGGAAGTAACACTTCAGCTCGCTGTTCACCAACAATATGCAGCCGTTTTAAAATATTTTAAATAACCACTTGTCCAGTTAAAGTGGGACAAATTATTTACTCATCCCTGAGTTTAAAGTTAGAGTCCCTAAAGATGATTGAGTATGTCTAATTAAAGCAGGAGTGTGATTTAAATGTCTTTAGTATTTTTTTATAACTGGAAATCTTAATTTATTGAAAGTTTTTAAGACGTGACTTCTTCTAAATTCTCTAGTTGCTTGTAATTTTACTCCAGAAGAATGCCATCAGGCTGAAAAAAGGTTTATTTTTCCAAAGTTTGTCTTAAAAACATTCACATAAAGTTCTCTCTGACTTCCCTTTACGTCTGTTTTGTGTCTCCGTAGGTTCAAATGATGTTTAATAACGAGTCTCTGCCCGATCACATGACAATGAAACGACTATGGCTCTCACACTGGTTTGGAAAGGTATGGAGCAGCAAATATCAGCTGGAGGGCAGCAGACATCTGTTTCGCACGTACTTCATGTAGAAAACTGCAGAACTCTCACCAGACGTGTTTCATTAAATATATATTCTCTAATCAATAACGATTTAAATGTTTTTTTTCCTCCTGCAGGCTCAACCTTTAGTTCTTCACTACACCATCAAAGACAAGAGGAACAGATAGGATGAGGGTTCAGTTTAAAATAAGCTGTACAACTTTTGTACAATACATATTCTATTTTAATAGTGTTTGTGTACATATATTATTTTCTCTGTTTTGTATTTTTGAAAATAAATCTGAAATGGAAAAAAAAAAGATCTTAAGCGTGTTTTTTCTCCCTACATTTTGGGCATCCAAGACCGTTTTCTTATGTCTAGACAATAATGCCCCCTTACAGGTTAAATGTGACAAGTGGGAGTTTCTTATTCTGTTTAAGCAAGAATTATATTTGTATAGGAGAGGTAATTTAGTTTAAAATATTTAGAGAGAAAAAAGTCTCGATTTTCTTCAGTTATGTAAGTATTCCTTGAGGTTTGTACTCAAATTTTAAAAGATAAATTATGAATTTATTGTGTAAATTGTTTAAAAATTTCAAAGTATTCTAATTTGGTTTTAAACAAATCTTCCCAAAATAGTAAAACATTTAGTAAAAATGAAAATGTTAAAGAAAATCACATTTGACCTAAAATTGTCTTTATAAAAGATAGTCTGCTTGAATAAAAGCTGTAGCTGTTGAGCTTCCATAACAAAAACGGCGTTAGCAATTACTCTATGCAGTAGCAGTTTTTCATTCTTTGGAGGAGTAGAACAAGAGAAACGTGTCTAAAGAAAACACTGAGCTGCAAAGATTTCACTGATCTTTTGTCTGTCTTACAAAACATCTCCCCTAGATGACCACTAGGTGGCAGGCTTGGCGCTGTTTATGCACCAGACGAGCTGCTGTTTCTCGTCTCCAGGGTGAAAGGAGACAGATAACCTGACACAAGCTGATAAAGAATGCATTCTCACTTTTAGAGCCAAACTTTCACCTACACTTATCAAAATTAACCCTAAAATTCTAAATAACACAGTAAATGTTCTGCACATACAGAACTATGTGCAACGGGGAGAAATCTTTACAAAAATATTTTAAGCTTGATATGAAAAAATATAAAAGTAAATCATCAGAGTTTTGATTAGAAAAATAAAACTAGTTCTGCTGAGTTAAATCCATGACCCATATTTGAACTGGTGCACAATATATCTGGACGATATTGAAATAAAAGCTGTGTTTGCCAACTCCAAATCAAGACCACGATTTTCTCCCATTTGAAAAAAAAAAACAAATATATATATATATATATATATATATATATATATATATATATATAATTGCACAATAACCTGCAAAAGAACGATGACTACACAATCCCTACACTTGTCCATATCCCCAGGGTGTGTTTATGCTAAATTAAACATGAATTATTTGTGGTTTAGGCCAAAGTCTTTTTCATTCTGTTTTTTATTCTGAAGTTATCAGACACACATTAGTTTATAGCTGCAAATATAAATTATACGCTGTAATGGAGAAGCATAATGTATCTATTTAACTGTTGATTTGAGGTGTTAAAGGGTAAATTACAATTAAAGACAATTGTTTGAAGTTGTTATATTTGAAATGTTGTGTGACCAAAGAAGCTGCTACAGAAAAGAGATTACTTTTTCCTACTGAGACCAAATCAGTAGGTGCCACAAAACAAAAGTAAAAATAAAACAACTATATCAGCTGTCTGTGTTTACGTTGTTCTTCCTGCCAGTCTGCGGGCCTCCACAATAAAAGCCTTACTTGACTTTTCAACCTCCCATTACAGCCGATTACTTCTTTTGTGATCACCAGGCTGCTCGGTTGCTCTGCATCTGCTTTGACCATAAAATGTAGAATCTTCAGTCCAAACAGACTTAAAGATGTCTTAAAGTTTCAGTTCATCTTTATTTTTTTTTGTTTTCATACCTAAATAATTTATTTTGAGTTATTTAAGAAGAGCAGCCCATTTTAAAATAAATAACGTAAAAATGTGTATTTAAATTTAGATTCGAGGTATTTTGAATTCCTCCCAATAAATCAAGAACTGAAAAAGTCAAATTTTATGCACAGACGCGCAAATGGTGCACTGAAAAGGGCAGAGCTGCAGTTTTAATTCCAATTTAAACACACACACACACACACTGAACCTTTGATTCAGTTACAAATGGTCGTGCAGCAGCAGCGCGACACCTTTCCTCTGCGTTCCGTTTGGATTTATTCATTAGGACACTCCTCACGCGAACCCATTTGCTATTCATGGCGGACTGTTTTTGTCCTCTAAACAAACCCGAGTGAAGAGTGGCAGATGCGTGCCTTTATCACCCACCGCTCGGTGAAAGCTGTTTATGTGCGGCAAAGGCGGGTTAACCTAATCAATCATGTCGACTAGTTGTGTTAAAGGCGATGCGTGGAAGGCGGAAGAAAACATATGGCGGCTTCTTTCTCCTAAGTACCGCGGCCAGACCGGGACCTTCTTGTGACAAGATGTTTCCAGACCCGGGCCAACATAAAAGCAGGACTCGGCTGCTAATTGAAGTCGTGGGCGAAAGCAGAAGGGGTCAGTGAGTCAAAATCACATTAAACCATTGAGATGCGAGCATTTCCAGACTGCACAATAATAATTAAATTATAACAAAGATTCCATCTTTGGACAATCACACCGCGCTGAGAAATATCATATAACCTTTATTTACATAGATGCTGATTAAATAGAACGTTACAATAAAATTATCGCATAAGATGTTTGATTTATGTACAGAAGTCAGAGCGCGTGACGTGAGGCTGGGTTAGGGTCAGTAGGCCTGCATGCTTGCAGAGATACCCTCCTCCAAAGAGCCCAGAATAAAAGCTGCACATGATGGGGACAGGATTCAAACCAAACGGGGTTTAAGTTTACACTTTGGGGGCAGATCTTGAGACGTTTAACTGAACAAAATATATATAAAATTGCATCTGAGTTGCACAACTTTTTGCTCTCTTTGAGGTTCAGATCATTTAAAATGTTTACACACTGCTCCTTCTCCCGATACACCGGTAAGATCTGACCGAAGGGGAACCGGATATTCCCGAATTCTTGTGAAAAAGCACGAAGTCCGATTAATAAATAAAATAAAAAGAAATAAAATATGAAAACTTTCCAAAGATGTTCATATATGCGTGTATTCTCCTTTTATCCGTGCAAAAGTTTGGGAAGAAAAAAATGTCCCTCTGAAATATTCTTCTTTTCCTGTTGTTGGAGTTTATGAAAATCAGCCCCCTCCTCTGCTAATCATCCACCTCAATCTCCTCATCATCCTCCGAGAACTCATCCGTGGTTTGGTCTCTGGATGAAGAGGGGGACTGTGGGAAGGCTCGGTGTCCTTGAGAGGTCGGGGAGACGCTGGGCGACCTGGCCCCGGGGCCCCCACCCTGCGCGTCCTCCAGGTTTTCCATGCTGACGAGCTTCTGGAGGGTCTGTGGGGTGATTTTCTTTAGCGACTCGACGTCCGCTTTCATCTCTTCCAGGTCTCGCTTGAGTTTGGCCCTACGGTTCTGAAACCAGGTGATGACCTGCGCGTTGGAGAGTCCCAGCTGCTGCGCGATTTGGTCACGGTCAGCTGGAGAAAGATACTTCTGGTACAAAAACCTCTTCTCCAGTTCATAAATCTGGTGGTTCGTGAAGGCCGTCCGCGACTTTCTCCTCTTTTTTGACGTCTGCCGCTGTCCGAAGGCGTTTAGATGCTCCCGACCTTGGAGAGGCAAGGAAACGGAGAGGGATGGAAACTCGTCAACAAAAGACAATTTAAAGCTACTTTTTCAATGTTCTTTAATCATTTAGGAGAAAAAATGTAATGTCTACATTTAAATGTCATTCGATATTATAAATGATATTAATAAAATCTGGAGTCAAACTGTTTGAACGGATCAACAAGCAACATCTAAATCAGGCTACGAAATAAACGTGATTGCATTCTGAAATGCAAGTAAAATATATAAAATTTAAAAGTTAAACGCAGGATCTTCGTGTTTTTCCACACATAAAGGCCCAGCTACTGTAGAGTTCTGGACAGTAGCTATCGCCATGCGTAAATGTCCCTGTTCGTTCACACATTCCCACACACGTCCCCTCATGTCCACTTTAAAAGCCAAACACAGCTCTCCGCTCTGAATGCATTAAAATGATCTCAATCCTGCCTTCCTGAAAATTCCCATTTTTGGGGATGAAGAATGTTTTGTACCTTCTGCCGCCTGGATCACGCTGACTTCCAGACCCTTAAAAGTTTTGCTGGCCAGCTCCTCCAGCGCGCACAGCGGCGAGGAAGGAGTGGTGATCCCGTTCCGCGCCGAGTTGGAGCCCGCAACTTTCTCCAGAACTCTGGGCGGACAGATGCTGGCCACAGATTTCTTCACGGAGGGTTTGTTCAGAATATCCTCGATGCTGAACGGCGTTAGGGGCTTGTTGGAGTTGGCTGGCGGCGGCAGCTGGTCTAAGGGGGCTCGCCTCCTTTCCTCCCCGCTGGACTGCAACACAGACCCTGCTTTCATGTCTTTACTAGAGGTCATCGCAGTCCCGAACAATCGCTGCACTCACACTAAAGTTGGTAATTTCATTCAAAAGGCGGATGGAAACGTCCCGTTAAGCTTTTCTCGCACCCTGCGCTCTGGCAGAACCTCCGCTGGATTTGAACGCTCTGGATCTTAGCTCGCCTGAGAGCCTTCCTCCAGAATAACCATGCTTCGGGCGTAGTTACAGAGGCAGCTGCGCTGTATTCCCCCTCAGAGAGTCCCAGTTCCTCTGCCAGGATCCATGTAGATGTTTAGAAAGGGACAGAGGGGGTGAATTCCTGCAAGAAGAGAAAAAAAGTATGTAAAAAAACCGCTTTCTCGGACACACAGAGGGGAAGAAAGCGACTGCTAACGACTTATTGTTGTTTGGGCGAAGTTCAATTAGAGAAACACTACACCACTTGGTGACCCGCCGCTGTGTCTTAAAGGGCCGGAACATAATAACTAATTGGACGTGGGGAATAGGAGGAGTCTGGAGCTGCCGAGGAGAAAAAATCCCTTCAAATGTTTCCCTCTGCTGGCGTGTTCCTCCAGAAAGGGAGAGTTGATGGGAATTTAAATGATTGCCACCAGCATCTTTTTTAGTATAGAAAACTTTAAACAACTTGTTCTCCAGCCGTGATTTATTTATCCATTTCCGTGCGTAATTACGCACAGAGCGTCTGCGTAAATGTGCTCATTAGGCACCGTGTTGCACATGGATTTCACTCCAAAAAAGACACATTGATTATAGATTTGAATTTAAAGACACGTTATTTTCAACACATTTAGTTTAGTATAAACGTTTTTTGTATTCATGGTTAAAGTAAAAATGAGTGCGGATGTATTGTTATTAAAGTGCCAGTAGAATGTAAAACTGCGTGTTTACCTGAGAAAAAAAGAATATTAGGGAAATAAAAGAACGAATATCATTTAATCTTCATTTAGTTGCTAACTTACTGTTTTTATATGCGCCATGTTTCTGCTCAGTTCTTCCACCCTTCGTGTGTGAGCTATGCATGCTCCAGACGGTCCCTGCAGGTATATCCACAGCTTCAGTGTAACACAATGCGCCAGCGTGAAATAAGCGGATAATGATTGTGACGCCGTGCTGCGGCTCCCAGTCTGACGGCGGAGAATGTGAAATGTACCGGAGGTTTAAGATGTAAAGAGACAAACGAATTAGAGTCAGAAAATTACCCGGACCGGACCAGTTGGACGCCCGGGAGAAACGAGCAGGTTCGTACAGGAGAAAAAATACATTGTCCTATTTAAACTCCACTTTGGTTTTAGATTCTGGATTATTTGTCATTTTTCATAAGGGTGGAATGCGCATTTTTACAGAATAACAATTATTCAGCTGAGAATGAAATACACTGCATGAAAAAATATTTTTATGTGCGTGAAATAAAGCAAAAAATTATCAAACTTTCTTAAAGCCAGATTATAGTTTAATATCACCGGATAAAGCAGAAAAACGCATCATTTCTGACCCTGCTGCGTAAAAGCCGCCTCTCCTCATGCCACTGTGGAGAGTCTTGTGCCAACAGGAGCATATGGTGACATTGGTTTAGGGACATAGTTGTAAAACAGCAGGAAATTCTATTATCTGGCGGTGAGGTCCACCCTTTGAGGCTGATCTGAATACATATTTCTCCATAACAAGCTGGAGACGCTGGGTGGAAATTCAGTTAGAGGATTTGGGCAGAGTCACACGTCGTTTTAGGGAAAAGTTCAAGAAGATGAAATTATATTAATACCAAGGTGACGGATATTTATCCTGACACGTTTGGACTTGAATCTGAAATGAGGCAAAAATGACGAAGATTAAAACAGAAAATTGAAATTTTCTTTTACATTAACTGGTCAATTTAAACATTGGATTCCACACCATCGGACTTTCTTCTCTTTATTGGCGTTGTTTCTTAGGCCTGAATGAGACAAAAGCATGTTCGACTAAAGGATGGACCTACTGGGAGCTCCGTACGCCGCTCGGACCCGAACTGATTTGGGTAATTAACCTTCAGATCTGTTAAAGCGTCAGAAACCCGCAAAACGCCATCGATTTGTTTTAAACCTTTAGGAAAGGGTGGCGTGACCCCCCCCCCCTCCCCCAAGGCCCAATCTAAACGTTAATTAGAAGCAGGAAAGTTGACATCATCAATCATCAGCTCATGCAGGTTTTAATTGGATGATTCGCTCCACTTCTACCTCCCATCAGCGGCCTCCTCTCTCCAAAACGCGCCGCTCGCCCAAAAACCAGCATCGTTTGGATTTTTCTAATTGAAGAAGAAATATTTTGTTTTGTCGCAGACTCCTCCCAATACATTTGAAGTTCATGGACCGGGTGTGTGGTAAAACAAAATTAAAGTATTGCAGACATTATTAACCTAATTCACTAACATTTTGGGTTATGGCGTTATTAAAAGTCAAAAGGGTGAATCAACATCAGCAACAGACCTGAAACGGTTGTTTCATCTGAGACAGAGCTGGAGTTTTAAGAAAAAACACACGTCAGTGGTACTTTGCACATCGTTTTTTTCATGTTTTTGGATTTAGATGAAGGCCGTTCAGATGGAAAACAAAACCTTTTTAAGAATATAAAATGCGGAAAGCTGAATTTGATGTATAATTTTAAATTTAAAAATGAACAAAATAAAAAAAACTACTGATTAATCGACAATACGTTAGTAAACGTATGCAAAGTGAGGCCTAGAATAAAAAAACACGTTATAAACTACAGTCATACAAATATCACAGATGTGTGATCTCAAAATAGATTTAATTTCGCAATTATTACCGTATTACATCTAACTCAGCTCATAAATGAATCAAACTCCTGTTATTTTTAATCAAAGCAGCGGTTTGGTGTCCGTTGCTGCTGTAAAGCGGCGCCTCTCAGCGCGCGCGCAGCGGGTTATCCTGTATTATGAAAGAAAACAGCTGTAAACGCCTCTCAGGATAACACGATACAGGCGCAGGCTGCTCGGGGCGCTGTGGGTATTTTGTTTTCCAGCCTCCATCGGGCTGAAGTCGCTGAGCGGCTCCACAAGGAGCTTCACGAGGCTCCACAGACTCCAGATTAGCTCCGTCATGAGCGACGCTCCGCTCCTTTATCTCAGAATTATAACAATAAAGAAACAAAAGGTAAACACTTTATAACTGCAAATGCAAATTTTAGACAATCAGTGACTCTTAAAAACATCCTTTATTAAATAATATTTGCTTTGCACAACAGAAGCATCACAGCTGTTTAATGCGCGCGTGTTTCCCGTTTATCCGTCAAATTCCGTGAGCGTCGCAGCTGACGTCAGTGACACGAGGAGAGCGTGCTCTTTCCAAATGAAGACACACAGGTGTTCCTCGCCTCCGCCAGGTTCACGGGTCCTGCACGTAGCGACGTCATCAGTTCTTATTGGCCATGGCGGCGCTCTCCTGAGACCGAGCCCTCCGTTATTTGGGCTCTGGGTTCCGTAGTGTCACTATTTGATTAGGTGGTGATTGGATTTCTGAGCAGCACAGAGATGGAGACGTGAGTTAGAGTCAGACCGCAGAGGGTCTCCGATCGTCAGCATCCATAAGTCTGCCTCACACCCGTCTGCCAGCCCCCTCTCCTCAGACTGGTTTTGGTCACTAATCAAAATACTCATGTCCAGGTTCGAATTATAACCTGGGTTAATAAATCAATCTGAACTATTTCTGCTGACACCCACCCGAATTAAACACATTTAAATTTATTTCTAAATTAAATGGGTCAAAACGTCTGTCTGTGTTCAACATTTATTTATTTATTTATTTATTTATTTATTATAGCTCCACTTTGCATATTAAACATGGAGAGGTTACACGGCCTGTATGATCCGGCCTATAGATTTTTCTTTCATTTTCTGATTTTCCCTTCAATTCAACATTTTTTTCATAAACTATGTTATTTATTCATTCAAAAAGTACATAAGATATAAAATTTGTTTTGAACGTAAAAAACGTGTAAATGAAATGTGAAAATCCAAGCTGAATAGATCTCTATTTTTACACTTAACTGAATACATTTCAGACTTACATATGTATTTAGCTGAAATGAATATTAATAAGGTTATTCACTGATTCCTAAATATTTTAACAAGAGTTGAAGATTAAATCCACTAACACAAACTGTGAAACATTAGATTAAATAATAATTTAAAAAAATAATGTTTAATAAATAAATACAATTGGATGAAACGGCCCTGATTGGAGCTTAGGCTTCAGTTGAAAAATAACATATATGTATTTATTCATTAATAAATGAAACTGCGTAATTTTCTATAATAAACTTAGTAGAATTATTCCCGAGGTCACCATCACTTATCACTTGCTTATAGAGGTCATAATTAGGTCACTAACTGTTCTGATGGCTGAGGGGATCAGAGCCAGTGCACCATGAATGCATACACACCTGTTTTTATCATGAATGAATGAAATAAATGAGCTGAGTATCTGCTGAGCTGCAGATTTCAGATTCATACCTCCAAAATCTAAACACTATCAAACATAAAGTAGCTCGTTTAATTCCATGATGCCTCCCCCTCTCTCATGGGAGGGGACAGCGGTCGTCCTTGCTGCTCTGTAATGGCTCAGGGGCCCGTTTAAGATCACGAAGAAGGATATGTGGAAGGTTTAGCAGAATTATAGCATTCTGGGTGAATTTTCCTCCTGTTTAACTCCTGACTGGCTTCTTTATGGAGTAATTAGCCCACTGACCAGTGGCACTTGGAACCTGATACTGCAACTTTAGATTTATAGTGTTGATGTTCATGTTTGTGGCTTGTAGCCAACTCATTAAAGACATGTTATTAATAAGACCAGCTATACCTCCGCGGTGCTGCAATAACATTTATTTCATTATAAAACTATTATTGAGATTAAAGGGGATCTAAGACGCTTTAACCACATGCAACATGATTAGTTTTGTGTGTTTTTATTCACATTAAACTGCAACATTCTTATTAATGAGTGGGGAAAAATGCATCAGCATCAGTACATTTTCAGTCTGGGTTTTTATATAAATATCTCATTAACCACAGCGTCATTTAAAAACTAAACGATGCTCTTTCATCACTCCATGAAATAACATTTCCACCTGTTTTTCATTTAGTAGCTTTGGTATTTAATAAACTCACATTCATACACGAGTGCATGTGCTGTGCAGTTGGTCAGATCTATTTATAGACAGCGATGGGCCTCTGCTGCTGCTCTGAGATCAGAACACAACATGAGCTCAGCAGGCTGAAGGCCACGGAGGACGGGGTAAAGAACGTCAGAGGTCCTGCACAAAATCCATCTCCATCAAAAAGTGAATGTAATTAGAGTTTATTATATATTATTGTTATGTTGAAATGTGAAGACAGAAGTTCTATGTATGTTCTAAAATCAAAAACCTCCTAAAATCGTTGAA